ATTTATCTTTGAGTGATAGACTTATTAGTAGTTGTGGTAGAGTTATTTTGTGATCGGTAGACTTATTGATGGTTCGCGCAATCGTAGACTTATTTATACTAGTGGTAGAGTTATAATATGTGGTAGATTTATTTATTGTAGTGGTATTCAATCTTTTCACGTCTTTACTAAACAACCTTTAGTTGGTAGACTTATTTATAGTAGTGGCAGATTTATTTATAGTATTGGTAGATTTATAATATGTGGTAGATATATTTATACTCGTGGTAGTGGTAGATTTATAATATGTAGACTTATTTGTAGTAGTGGTAGATTTATAAATATGTAGTAAACTTATTTATAGTAGTGGTAGAGTTATTCAATAAAGGATAAAATCGTAATTTATCATTCATCTTCTCCACACAACTAAGTTTCTGTCAAACCCTAACAATGGCGGCCAACTACTTTTTAGCTCGTTTTTACTGTACTTTAACTTGTTTTCAACTGGGTTTAGCTTAAAATGAGTAGATCTAATATCATATATCTCTTTTCTAACCAAAAATCAAAAGATTTCAAGTTTTTTTTTCTTGTGATTTAATCCAATTTTATATAAATCTGGCGGTACACCTCCGCCAAGCTTGTCTCCGGTGCTTCTGCAGCCTCCACTGCTGCGGTTTCAAACAAATTTTTGAATTTTTTTTTTAAAATAATTAGAATGGCATTTTCGTAATAAAAACTTTTTACTAAGGTTTATATGTCTTTTATGACATTTGTTAAATTTCAATCTTGTTTAAAAGTTGTTTTAGTAATTATACCATTTTTCAAAGTTGTTCTAATAATTTTCTCTATATTATATTATTGTGAAAGACCCCCTCACAAAACATTCTATATAAACTCTCCATAGTTGCATTCTTTTAAACAAACTTAAACCTAAAGATCATAAACAAAACAAAATGAAGACATCCCACACTACTTTCCTTGTGATCACCATGCTTCTCATGGCTTCACTCTCATCCCCCACACACGGACTCATACTTGACGGCCTCCGTATCGGCTCCATCAGGATTAACGGGGTCTTATTTTGTTCTTTTAACGGTAATCTCATCGGAAACAGCCCTCCGTTATCTGGCGCCGTTGTCCAGCTATCATGCGCCGGGGCTACAACCGATCTTGGTCAAGCTGTGACCAATCCCGCCGGAGTCTTCGTCATCACCCTGAGGCTTCTTGATACGATCCTCTTTGATCCATCCACGTGCTTTATCAGGCTTAATCTCCCTATTGCCACGTGCGCGGTCCTCCCGCCGGACGGTGCACTCACCGCCTCCTTAATCCTTGTTAATATCGTTCAGAACCTTCTCGGCAACATCGCAAATTTCACCGTCACTCCTTTCATTAACACTATCCTTTGAATGAAATGAATGAAAGACCCAACTAAACAAAAGTCGCACGTTGCTTTTTGTTTCTTTGTGCTTTAGTTATGGACCTTATGGTTATGCTGTAAAATAAATAAAAGCTAGTTTTCTCATGGTTTTGTAGTAATGTTTCAATGTTTCATTACAAACAAACAAGTTAATGAATAAAGAACGAACTTTTTCCGCCATATCTTGCTTCATTCCGGGGGAGGATTAAAAAAAGTATTGAGCAACGAATTGAATGATGGACGTCAACGTCGCATATTTGGGATAAAATTTTGAACACGTGAATTTATCACAATATATTACAAATTCCTATTAAATTTATAGTTACGAGTAGATGATAACCACGCAAAAACAATCGCAGAGAATGGTACTAGTAAATTTTTTTTTTTTGGGTGTAAAATGGTAATAGTAAAGTTCGTCGTAGTTTTTTTTTGTTTACAA